AACTCCAATTCAGTGAAATAATTGAAAAGTGAGGAAAGAATCAGACTTTCTCCCCAAAGGGGAGAATCAGGTCTATTACTAGTAAATGTTTGGAGGAAATTCTATAAGATTCTATGAGAAAGAGGGATGTTATTGTAAAGTCACAGCATTGCTCTAATAGCAACTCGTCCAGTTCGGTTCTGATGGATGGAGCCAAAGGGTCATTTGAGTACTTTGTGTGTTTCTGTATGTTTACAGGCTCCTGGGAAATCCTCTGTGTCTGTGAGTTTTCTATGGATTACAATAAAGGCTATTCTGCACCTGATACATCCCTTACCTCATCTATAAAATGCAAGGGTCAGATCAGATAACCTCTTAGGTTCCTTCCTGTTTTAAGTCATCACATGTGTCAGAGGCATGATTTGAACCCTGGTCTTTCTGATTCTAAAGCCAGCCTTCTCTCCACTATACCACTGGCTTTCTCTCACCTTGAATATGGTTAATGAATATAGTTAATACTCAAGGAATATTGAACTGAATTCTGCACTGAAGGAAAATGTTAGGCAGGAAAGTGTCATTGCTTTTAGCTGTCTCCTAAAGCCCCCTGCTCACTCGCCTTAACTCCATAAGCATTTTGGCAGAGAGAGAGAGAGAGAGAGAGAGAGAGAGAGAGAGAGAGAGAGAGAGAGAGGGCAGCCAAACACTGACACAGGCATAGAATGGAAGCTCCTTGAGGACAGGGACTGTTTTAATGTTGTCTTTGTATGTGCAGTGCCTTCCTGGCATAGGGCACAGTGCCCAGAATACAGCAGGCACTTAATACATGCATGTTGATTGGCTGATTGACACTTGTACACAGTACACAGATAAATACATGACATCCACATACAGGGCATAAGTACATACATTCATACACATACACATAGACCTATAGATACCCAGTTATAGCTTGTGTGTGCATAGTTGTCCATCTGTTTTCTCACTCTTTAGCTCCTCAAAATGATAGCTCTTCAAGGGTGGACCTCCAGCTTGTAGCTGGTATACTCAGGCAATAGCAGTGACCACTCCTCTGTGGAGCCCACCCCCAATGGACAGTACTGGTGTGCTATAGTCCACAAGTTCACAAAGACTTGGACGTGACCAGATAACAACGACAAAAGTGGATAGAGGGCTAGCCCTACAACCGAGGGAACCCAAGTTGCCAATCTGCATCAGTGAAGGGAGTTTCCAGGCCAAGAATTACATAGATGAAAAAATAGATCTTGACCAAATCAAAAGTGCCATCTCATTAAATCATCTGTGAAATCCTTGGAATGTGACATTTTTGAGGTCTTCCCATCCCACGGCACAGTGAAAAGTTGGCTAGATTTGGCATTAGAAAGCCGGGGTTTGAACCCTGGGAATGACCTTGCACAAATGTTCTGGGCTTCTCAACTCATTTGAGGGAATTGGACCAGATGGATCCTAAGCTCTTGTCCAAGTCTAAACCTATGATCTTAAGATCTCTTTCAAGAAGGAACAGAGACCACTGGAGGTATTCTCCAAATTCAGGTCTCCAAGGAAGATACCCTATTCCCTCTTGGTCCCCTTGTCCAAATTTCCCTCGACCTAATTTCTCCTCACAAACTTTGTTGATGACATTGACTATAACAGATTACTCAATACAATGCACAAAATCCCTCAAACACTTAGAACAGTAGTTTCCAGTTCAACCAACAAAGTTTTATTTAATAAGTGTGTTTTGACTTAGGGTGACCCAATGGGAATTTTAGGTAGGTCAGGGTCAGTAACTATCAGGGAACATGAAGGAGGGTGGTTAAGGTCCAGGAACATAATGTTCACAGAAACTTTTGTAAACTTTAACCATGGATATTGGCATTTTCACAATCATTTTTTGGTGGCTAGCCTCAAGCTCCATAACTTTATCTATAGTTAGTCTCAGCAAGTTTTATTATTCATATCTATTTGTGGCCAAAGTGAATGGATTTGACTTTTGTGTAATTACTCACCACCCTTCTCCTCATACCTCCACTTCTGCCTTACCCTGAGGATCAGCCAGGTGACTGAGCCCATGCACCCTGCTCTGAGCCCAGCACTGTGCTAGGCATTGAGGGGGATACAAAAGAAGGGGCTACCCCTGATCTCCAGGAGCTTAGACTTTACTGGGGGAGACAAGATATTTCATGAAACAATTGGAGAATAAAGTACTTCATTTATTCAATACCTCCACTGATGGCAGAACGGAGACAATTCTGGATTCTATTCCATCATATCTAAAGACTTGGCCAATTATATGTGTGGGGCATAGTGGAGACAGCATTGGCCTTGATCCTATCTAACTATATTTTGTGTGACTGTGACTAAATCACTTTATCTTTCAATGACTCTCTCTCTCTCTCTCTCTCTCTCTCTCTCTCTCTCTCTCTCTCTCTCTCTTCTTTCTCTCCCTCCCTCCCTCCCTCCCTTCCTCCCCTATCTCTGTCACTCTTCTCTCTCCCCTTCCTTCCTCCCTCTCTCTCTGTCTATCTCTCTGTCTCTGCCCCTCTCTGTCTCTGTCTCTCTCTGTCTCTCCTCTCTCTCTCTCTCCTTTCCCCCCCCCTCTCTCTCTCTCTCTCTCTCTCTCTCTCTCTCTCTGTCACACACACACACACACACACACACACACACACACACACACACACATAAAATCATGAATAACTAGAATGCCCAGGAGATGATGTTATTTGGTTAAATGGATTTTCTGTCTCAGAGTAGCTAGAAAATCCTCTCCAACCTCCCCAAATACTTTCTTGTCAAACATCTTTCTAAAAGACACTATTCCACTTTCGTTCCTTAATAAATAGAGCTTGCCCTCTTTTATTTGATAATTCAAAACAGCTCTGAGAAAATCATGGTGAATATCAGTCATTATTCAATACTGGAAAAGGAGAAGGAAGTGTGGGAGGAAGCTGAACTTAGTGGCTGTATTCCCTGGAATTCCCCATATCCTCTAAAACAATCCATCTGTAATATATTTTTTATCCCTTCCCTCTTTCTCCTCCTAGCGGTCTGTTGCCAAACATTCTAGTGAAGTGAACGTCTTCTGTTGTCTGTTGATGACTTGAAAATAAATCTGTTTCCAACAATAGCTTTAAAACAAGAGATTTCAAGAAAGTAAACCTGACACTAGGGGGATAAAACGTGATATAGCATTGCAATATCCAAATATTGAGTATATTTGAGGATTATGTGCTATTTTTTTCTTAGACACGGGAGAATTGTTTGTACTATTATCAGTCTTGTTCTGCGAGGAGCTGTGGTTCTAGTGTTGATTTCTTCACAGAGAGGAACTCTATGGTTTTTAGCGTCAGTATTAGCATCATCCATAAAATCAGATGACCTCGAGCAGAACAGGTGACAAACAGGTAAACCTTGCCTGATTGGCTGGCCTGAGACACTTCTGGAACTATGTTCCGACTGGGGTACTTCTCATGGGACTCTGAGCCTGTGCCTTGGTCCCTTCCAGGGAAATGTGCTCAGATCTGAAATACTCTGATGTGACATGAGACTGAGATAAGCAATAAGGGGCTGAAATAGCTTCAGGAAGGACTGGACACTGAGATGGTAAGTCCACTCACTCAGAGGGCTTAAAAAGGAGTGAGACCTTCCCCTATCCCCCTCTGCATCTCTGCTTCCCCTCTGCTCTCTCTTCCCCTCTGCTGAACACATGAGGACTCTTCAAGCCTCCTTCATGCAAGCAAAAATGGCAAACTGCTCATACATGGAAGCCAAGACACCTACTGGCATAGGTGAGCTCAAGCAAGCTGAGATCTCAAAGCTCTGGATGACTGCTCTACTCTGCCTTTCTTTCCTGAGCAAAGGTGACAGAAAAGTAATCCTGAGATGGACATTCCTACCCTTAGAGGCTACCTTGTGATTCTGAGAGATCAGAATTGGGGGTCCTGAGTCTCTTAGTTTGTGTCAGTCACAATATGGGAGAACCCCTACATGCACCACAATGATTCTCAGAGGAGAAAGTGTCCACCAAAAGGAGGATGAGCACAAGCTGTGGCATGGAGAAGACTTGGACCCTAAGGAAGTCATCAGACCACAAAGAACCAAAGGGAAGGTAAAAATGGATGGTTGGCCAACTGACATTTTAAGTAAAGTTAATACTCAACATTCACACATCTAACTTTCACGACTTCAAGCATTTGCATGATTTTATTTTATTTATTTATTTTTTATTTTTATAGGCAATTAGGGTTAAGTGACTTGCCCAGGGTCACACAGCTAGTAAGTGTCAAGTGTTTGGTCTGAGGCTGGATTTGAACGCAGGTCCTCCCGACTACAGGGCCTGTGCTATCCACTGCACCATTTAGCTGCCCCTGCATAACTTTATTAACAGCCTCACTTTCATTTTCACATTAGCAACCATGCACATTCGAGGCTATGCACAGTAAAGAAAAAGAAATAAGAAGTGTGGTGCATGCAAATTTATAGAGCAGCTGATATACTACTAGGTGCTTTGCTGATCTTTTTTGCCCTACTATTGCAGAGAGCTCCCCATGCATTCATTGGATATTTTCACTGCCTTTAAAATTGAAGTTTTGTGTTTCAGTTATGCCTCCAATGGGTAGGGGGGAGTGGGGAGTCTTTTGGGCTCTGAGTCCAAGTGTGCAAAGTCAGTGATGCATCTTAGTGAGAAAAATAAAGGTATTGGATAAACTTTTTTGCCAGAAAAGCAGTCAGGAAAATCTGAGCTCAAATATGACCTCAGATTCTCACTAACTGTGTGGTTAGTGGTAAGAGGCAGATCACTTAACCTATCTGTCTCTGTTTGCCCAGCTATAGAATGGGTATGATAATAGCAGAGTCATTGTGAGAATCAAATGAGATAATATTTGTAATGTGCTTAGCACCGTGGGTGGTGCCTAACAAATACTTGCTTTTTCCTTTCTATGCTTTAAACCTCCTTCTATTAACTATTGAATGATCTGTTTTATTTCATTTTAATTAAGAACCTGAGCTACCAGTCCAGTCTGAACCAAGCCTACACCTCTACTTCCCTTGCCACCCCTCACTATTGGTCATGTTTTAACATTTGCTGAGTCAGAATAAATAAGGTAAGGATCAAAAAATGTAGCAAGGGGAAAAATCATAAAATGTGTTTTTGACCTTGGACAATTCACTTCATTTCTCTGGGCTGCAGTTCCTCCACCTGTCAAATTAGAGCGTTGGACTAGAAAATTGCTGTGGTCACTTTCAGTATTAACATTTTATGTATTGAGAAAGAGTTCTGTTTTACATTTATGTGGAAAGAATTTTTATTATCTGGTCTTTTGCTGTAGTATTCCTTCTGGGGACTACCCCCCTCCAACTTGCACTCATACTCATTGGGTCCCCCAGAAAACAGCTACTGTCTCATGTTCAGAGGGCTACTCTATGAGTCCATATCCTAAAACTAAACTCATGAGCCCCACTACCAAGCTTACCTGTAATAGTTAGCCAGTAGGCACAATTAGCTCAAAGCAAAGGCAGTTACAAAAATGTTTTAGTGAGGTCAGTAGCTACACAATGTTGTCCCTATAAGTCTGTGGTGTTCTGTCCCACAAACACACTGTACTGGAAAGAAGAGTAGGCAAGGAGTATACTGATAGGCACACAGTAGGGAACGCACGTGACCAAGTCAACTCACACCCAATAACATTTCCCCAGTGTCTGTGTGCTGTTTCTTCTAGGTGAAGCATCTCTTCTTCATTAGAGAGGGCTGGGAGGAAAGAGGGAAGAATAAGACAAACAATAATGACATTTTCTCAGATGGTCTCCCATACCTGGATCACTTCTTTTGTCCTCCGTTCCAACTACTAACCTCTCTGGCTTCCTGTAAGTCCCAAATAAAATACTACCTTCTAGAGGAAGCCTTGTCCAACTCCTCTTAATTCTAGATCCTTCTGTCTTAATTATTTCCTTTTATCCTCTATATAGTTACATTTATATACATATATATTTCATATGTGTATATAATATGTATTTTATATATACATATATACACATACACATATATTTTATGTATATATAATATATACATATATTTTTATATGTATATATACATATATATATTATGTGTGTTTGCATGTCGTGTCCTCCATTAGATTGTAAGTTCCTTGAGGACAAGGATTGTCTTTGCCTCTTTTTGCATCCCTAATGTTTAGTACAGTGCCTGGCACGCACTAGGTACTTAGTAAATGTTTGATTGATATGCCTATGTATGCTTATAATATATGTGTGCATATATGTAGGTATGTAAAGTCTCTAAGATACCTTACCTTGGTCCTAAAGATCCAGGGTTAGAAATCCATGTCCACCAACTTCTAGTCAATCTCCTTTTATGATCTCATCTGCTCCCACAGATATAATAATCATTTCCATCCAGATGACTTCCATAAGTATATGTTTCCCTAATTTCTCTCCTTTACCCCAGTAGCACATTACCCCCTACCAACTGGACATCACCTGGAGGTTCCATAGGTATCTTACACTCAACATGTTCAATATAGAAACTCATTATCTTTCCTCGTCCCCCCCCTCAACGTTCCTGTTATTTTTGAGAGCACCACCATCCTCTCCAGAGCCCAGGCTTGCAGTCTTAGTTTTCACTCTCTCTCACAGCTCTTCTGCCCCAAACTAACTAGCAGCTAAGCCTTGCCTATTCTACCATCATGACATCTTTCCTATCCATTCATATGATCACTAGTTTAGGTCAAGCTTTTATCCCCCCTTACTTGGACTACTACAATGGTCTTCTATTTGTCTCTCTGTTCCAGCGTCCCCTCACCCAAACCTCTATACAACTGCCAAATTAATCTTCCTAAGGAACAGGTCTGTTCACATTATTCCTTTGCTCAAAAAAATTATGTCATCCTACTGCCTCCAGCACAAAATGCAAGTTGGTTGATTTCCAATAAGCAAAACCCAATTTCTACCAAGCAATTCTTCAACCTGGAATTTAAAGCTCTCCACAACCTGGCACATACCTGTCTGTATTACCTCCCCACTCAAGAACCTTCAGTGACTCCATATTACCTCAAATACAATTTCCTCAACATGGCATTTAAAACTTTTCATAATCTGGCTCCACCCTGCCCTTCCAGATATTTCGTGTTATTACCGTTCACATACACTATGTTTCAGTCAAATGGCTTCCTTCCTGTTCCCAAAACAAAACATTCTACCTCCCCTCTCTGTAATTTTTACATAAACTTCCTCCCATGCCTTGGAGTATATCTTCTCATAATCTATACCTCTTAGGTGCTACCTCTTACATGAAGCCTTTTCTGACTGATCTAGTTAATGGGTTGCTAACCTGAAACCCCAAGGGGTCCATGGACAAATTTTAAGGGGTTTGTGAACTTGAATAGGAAAAAAGTAACATCTTTATTTTCACCAACCTCTCATTGAAATTTGACAGCTAGGTGGCGCAGTGGATCTTCGTGAAAGCAATTCTAGCCTCAGACATTTACTAGCTGTGTGCCCCTGGGCAAGTCACTTAGCACTGTTTGCCTCAGTTCCTCATCTGTAAAAATGAGCTGGAGAAGGAAATGGCAAACCACTTTAATATCTTTGCCAATATAACCTCAAATAGAGTTATGAAGAGTCAGAAGCTATTGAAAAACAGCTGAACGACAAAATGAATCTAAATGTAGCATTTCCTTCAATTATTTAAAAATATGATCCTAAGAAAAGGGTCCATAGGCTTCATCAGACTTAATGCCAAAGGAGTCCCGTATACCAAAAAAAGTTAAGAAACTGTGACCTAGTTGTTAGAGTTCCCTCCCTTGTCAGATTTTCTTATATTTTATACGTTTGTTCCCCCAATAGAAGATAAATTCTTTGGGGACAGGTTATTTTCATTTTTGTCTTTGTATGCCCACCACCCAGCACAGTGGCAGCATGGCAGAGTATGAACTGATTCTGTGCTGCTTGTGCTAATTTGGCATGACAATTAACACCAAGAAAACAGAAGTTCTCCACCAGCCAGCACCGCCCCATCCATAGGTAGAACCATCAGGTTACAATAAATGGAGAAATTTTGAATTCCGTGGATAAGTTCACTTAGCTTGGCAATATACTTTCCAGAGTTGTATGCATTGGTAATGAGGTTGATGCACACATTATTGCCATAGCTAGCTCAGTGTTTTGGAGTCTCCAAAGGAAACTGCGGGAAAGAAGAGGTATTAGGCAGCCTACCAAAATGAAGGTCTACAGAGTTGTGTGCTGACCTCATTGTTGTATGCTTGTGAAACCTGGACGATCTACCAGCACCATGCCAGGAAACTGAATCGCTTCCATTTGAACTATCTTTGGAAGATTCTGAAGATCACCTGGCAAGATAAGGTAGCAGACATTGAAGTCCTTTCTTTCTTTCTTTCTTTTTAAGGGCAACTTATTTATTTATTTTTAGTTTTCAACATTCGCTTTTATAAAATTTTGAGTTCTAAATTCCCCACCCTTCACTCTCCCCTCCCCAAGAGAGCATGCAATCTGATATAGGCTATACATGTGTGATCATATTAAACAAATTTCCACATTAGTCATGTTGTAAAAGAAGAATCAGAACAAAAGAAAAACCATGAGAATGAAAAAACAAAAAACAACAAAAGAAAGAGAAAATAGTATGCTTTAATCTGCATTCAGACTCCATAGTTCTTTCTCTGTATGTGGATAGCATTTTCCATCATGGATCTTTCAGAATTGTCTTAGATCATTGCATTGCTCAGAAGAGCTAAGTCTAAAAATTTGATTATCACACAACTTTGCTGTTACTGTGTACAGTGTTCTCTTGATTCTTCTCACTTTACTCAGCATCAGCTCATGCAAGTCTTTCCAGGTTTTTCTGAAGTCTGCCTGCTCTCCATTTCTTTCCTTTTTTGTAGTTTTTTTTAATACTTAATTTCTTTTTAGTTTTCAACATTCACTTCCATAAGATTTTGAGTTTTAAATTTTCTCCCCCTTCCCAAGACAAAGTACAACCTGATATAAGCTCTCCTTATACATTTATATTAAACATATTTTCACATTAGTCATGATGTAAAGAAGAATTAGAACTAATGGGAAGAACCATGAGAAAGAAGAAACATAACAAAACAGTGAAAGAAAAGGAGCGCAAATAGTATGCTTCCATCTGTATTCAGACTCCTAAATTCTGCCTCTGGATGTGGATAGCGTTTTCCATCGTGAGTCTTTTGGAGTTCTCTTAGATCCCTGCATTGCTGAGAAGAGCTAAGTCTATCAAAGTCAGTCATCCCATAATGTGGCTGTTACTCTGTACGATGTTCTCCCGGTTTTGCTCACTTCACTCAGCATCGATTCATTTAAGTCTTTCCAGGTTTTTCTGAAGTCTCCCTGCTCATCATTTCCTATAGCATAATAGTATTCCATTACATTCACACACACACACACACAGAGACAAAGACTATTTTACAGAGAACTCACAAAGGTAAGCACTCACATGGAGGTCAGAATAAGCAATATGAGGACACTCTCAAAGTCTCTCTGAAGAACTTTGGAATCAATTGTGAGACATGGGAGATGCAGGCACAGAACCACCCAGCATGGCGTGCCCACATCAAAGAAAGCACTGTGCCTTATGAGAAAAGCAGAATTGCAGTAGTTCAAAAGAAATGTGAGATGCTCAAGTTTAGAGACATTTCTACCCCAAATGTTCATATGGGGCTATTTGTGCCCGACCTGTGATAGAACCCTCCAAGCTTGTATTGGTCTGGTCGACCACAGTTGGACACCCAGTACCTTGACCCAGATATAATGATGTCATTTTGGTCCTCTTCAAACATGACGGACAACCACCCACCACCAAATGTTTGTTGAATTGCTGATCCTACTACCTTTCCAGCCTTATTTTGCTTTATTCCTCTTCATACACTATACATTTAGTTCAGTCAAGCTAACCTCCTTGCTCTTCTCTGTCCATCTCCTATGTCCATGTCTTTTGCACAGAGACTCCCCCATGCCTGGGCTGTGATTCTTCAGCTCTTCTCAGAATTCTGACCTTACCCCAAGGCTCAGCTCAGGTGACCCTATGAAACTTTCCCCATTCCATCAGTTG